ACAGTTGCGATGGTTGTCCCGGTGCCGGCTCTTCCAGCTTCGTTTCCTGAAACTACTGCTTCTTCTGTTGAGATTCAAGAGTTGCGTGATGAAGAGATGCAAGGTTCGGACTCCTCTCCACCTGACACTTCTGGTGGTGCAGCATTGTCAGTCGAACCTTAGACCTCGGCAGGGGTTCAAGTCCTAGAGCCTGTCCCCGTATCGTCTTCATCCTCCGACCTTACTTCATCCGCTATTGATGGCGAGACGTCGAGTGCGGTTCAACCTGCAGCTGCTGCGACTTCTGAGACTCGAACTCCTGTGGTTACTTCCCAAATTCCAGAGCCGGTGTCTCTACGCGCTCTTGCACCGTTCGAGCCAACTAAACTTCGGAGCCCTCCCCCGACGGGCGTGGTGAGTCCGATGCTCGGAACTGTTGCCGAAGCTTTTAGAGAGACGGCAGTCAAGCTGTAGAATGGCTTTATGACTTTCGAAGCTAGTTGCAGGAAGAAACAGTCGAAGAGAATAGAGTTTAGAGTGCGAGAGACAACGAAAGAGAAAGAAGAGAGGGAGGGCGGGAGAGAGCAATGACCGTGGGCCCTAGTAGGGTTATTTTAGTGTTTGCAACTTAAGGATAAATTTTAAAATAGAAATTTAAATAAGTGTTATGATGACATGGAATCCAAGCTGGATTGTCGCCTCACATGAGAAGCATAGGGAAAAGCATGATGCTTAATTGACGTAGGAATCTGTCCTATAATTTCAAAAATTGAATTTAATGGATCCATCCGTACTTCTCCCAAGATTATTTGATCTACGTAACGTTATAAAGTAATATTGTGAACGCGTATTCACTTTTGAAACGCGTCCACGCGCTACGTGTGGACTTTCTCTTTTGCGTGGTAGATAGAGCGTGTAGACCACGCCCACGTTCTTACAAAAAAAACGAGAACAAGTTTATTTATTTTATTTTATTTTTTAAAGATAAAATGTTTTGTAACTTCCCGTGGGGGTGTAATCCAAACCAATGTTTCAAAAATCAATTCGGTGTCCGAACCGTTTTTATCTCTCGGTCGTGGTTCACTGGTTCAATCGTTCGGTTGAACAGGTAAGATGCGGGTCAGATGTTACAATGCATAAATTTATATATATATATATATATATATATACATATATATATATATATAAACATGTATTTTATTAATAGATAATATATAATTATGTTTTACATGTATTATGTATTATGTATTCTGTGTATTATTTTATATTTAATTTATGTTTTTTAATTTTGTTTTAAAATTTTTATTTATTAAAAATTTTCAAAATTGTAATTCAAGGCCAAAATAAGTTTTTTTTTTTTTTGAAAAAATAGAAGGGCAAGGCACCTATGGCTCCTTAGAACTCATAGATTTCAAACAATTACCTAAAATCAAAATAAAAAAAAAAATCACCTTAATTAGACATTAGAGTGCAAAGTTATGGCTTCCCAAAATTTGCATACACATTTAGTATGCAAACTCTGACTTAGTTACTAAGTCAAACGGATCAATGGTCCAACCGTCTGGAGCATACACTTTTTGACCATCCACCAGATTTTACTATAATCAAACCTGAAATCTTGATCAGGTGATGGTTCATGCAGTTCAACCAGCTGGAATCAACAACGGGTCGAAAACACTAATCCAAACATGAATCGAATTTCAGCATGTCTTGGTTCGGTTCCACTAAAGTGCAATTATGTTCTGGTTGTTCGAACCCTAATGTTTGGTTTGAGTTCCATTGAATTAAATATTCAATAAGTTTGAATTCGGCTCAAAAGTTCAAAAATTAATATATTTTTGTATATGTATGTATTAATGGAGTCAATTACTTAGGTTGCGTTTGGAAATGATGCAAATGGAGTGTAAATCCCGGTTCAGGGTAAATTTGAACTCTGGTTCACTTTTGACTATGTTTGGCAACATTACATTTATGCATTGAAAAATGACGGACCAATGCATATTTACATTGATAATAAGATGTAAAAGTACATCGATAAAAAAGAAGTAAATTTGCATTCAAGTGGGCTTTTGATAAAAAAAGCATATGCTTTATTGAAATTCATGTTTGCATCCATTACAGCTAAAAGTCTATTTGGTAAGAAGGTAAATTTGTTGGTGCAAAACTAACCAAATTTTACAATTTATATAAATCGTTTTACACTCTACATATTTGCATTCACACTCATTTGCATATCGTTTCCAAACACAGCCTTAGAGTTGAACTTTTTATTGATCAATTTGAGTTTGAATAATTCAGTGAACTTACCTTGAGATTCAAACTCAAATTGTTTAAATCAAGCCTAATTGTGATTCTCAGAATTTTCCACCTGTTCAATTCATTTACTTAACAAGAGAAGTACATGGGGTCTTTTGGGGTGCCAAACCAACTTGCCACGTGGAATATTTATTTGACCATTCAGCTTTCTTGGCTAAGGCTGTATTTGGATTGACAAAAAAAAAGGAGAAAACAGAAAGTTTCTGTTTCTCTCCTATTTATTTTTTATTTTTTATCTTTACATGTTTTTTTTTAATGAATGGGGCAGATCGCCCAAAAAAAATAATGATAAGAATAAGCCCGGGAGCTTAATTGAAAAAAAAAAAACATCACATATATCCAAAAAAACTTGTAACAAATCAATCGATATGATAAATTTCTAATCAATCAGATGGTATTTATCATAATTCACAAGTGGGTTTTGATTGGTCAAAGCTCTTTTGGTATCATATCTTTTTTCTAGCATCATATATAGATTTTTCCATAAAATAGAATCACTTAATTAGAAGCCGATGAGTACCTATTATTATATTCTTAAGTCTGAGCTCAGCTTGACTCAAGCTTGACAATGCGACGAGCTTCATATAAAAATTAAAAAAATTAAACACATAAGATATTATATATACATATAAATAATTTTTGTATTATACATATAAAAATTATAAATATTATATATAATATAAGCTTAACTAAGCTACGAGCTTCACGAGCCAGGTTTTATTGGGCTCGAATTTAACTTAGATTGAGCTAAATTGAACTTTTCATGATCTGAGCTCAAATAACTTATGAAAAACTTGATTCTTTGTCACCTCTATGTGGAACCAACTCTACACAAGTTATAAAATACATATCACCCACAACAACTCAATCTCTCACCTTACATTTATAACTGATATAGGGTGATATCATTGGTTTCACAGCCTCTAACATATTCATTGCATTCAGGTAATCTGGATTCTGAAAAGTCCACCCAATATCTATTTTAACAAATTTAAAATCTCAATTTGGGCCTAAAAGAAAGATAAGAAACCTTGTAGAAAATGATAAAAAGAAAAGCAAAAAATGATTTTTATAATCATATAAATTGACAAGAAGAGTGCTTTTTACCTTTTCAATATTCTATGTCCATCCATATTTATTCCCTCTCCTCCCACTTTAGGTTTCTCCCTCATAAAAAATTCCTGGTCCCCCCTTAATGCGTTGATGACTAAATGTTTTTGGGAAAATGACGATTTAGTTCATACAGTTGGGGTAGGTGCCAGACTGTTAACCTTTTGAATGTTTATAATTCTGTAATAGAAATTAGAAATTTGCATTGGACCTATCCGTACTTCTTCAAATAATTTTTTGCAACCATTTAATGATTAAATATACGAAAATCAAAATTGTGTCCAAATGGAAATAGGATTGGCTGAACTTAATAGCATCTTAGCAGACTGTTGTAACCAATGATAACGCCCCCACACCTATTATAAAATACACGTAACCCATAACCATTCAACTTATTAATGATACTATGCAAGTCGTCTGTAATGTTGGTATCTGCTCCCAACAAAAAGTGTCCAAATACACCTCTAATATGATTTGTACGTACATTTTACCATAAGACTAAGACCTATCATTTATCAAGGTTTTTAAAATCGATCTGGAGAACGAATCTGTCAGGGTTCGATTCTCAGGTTGAATGGTCCGACCGTTTGAATTAAACGATTGGCCAGTTTTGATAAAAAATAAAAAATAGTCAAAACAATTGAATAGTTAACAATAGGTATTGGATGGACACATTTTAAAAGTTAGATTATTGAATTGTCGTGTTTTAAAGTTTGGAGACCAAAATGACATTAAGCCCAAAATACAAAATAATAATCAAGAAATTTCCCTTTTATATAAATTTAATAAGATTTTAATCAAATCAAATATAAATCGAATACCCATATATGCATGCGATTGAATTCACATCTATATTTACAAATCCACTAGATATTCGCTCTAATTCGAAACCCTTGTATTCTTATCGAATTGGATTTGGATATACCTCATTGCTTCCTAGTTGTATTTTTTTTTGTAATAATTAATAACATTAAAATTTAGTCAAAATAAATTTAGCGGTTTTTATCCATTATGTTTTTCATTTTTTTTTTCTAATTATAGATGGGGTTCTTGGCCCCTCACCCACCCACACACACAAAAAAAGAAAAAGAAAAAAGAAAAAAACCGCTGGCTCAGTCGGTTTGCCTCCTTCAAAGGGGGGTCCAGAAGACCAACTTTCTCAGCCGGCTACTGGCGGTCAAGCCCTCTTCCACCCACCTCGGTTACATAACAAGAGATCGCCCGCCAAGATATAAAAATAAAGAGAAAAACTAAAAGGTCTAGCAATCGGGTCAATTGTGGTGAGTCTGACGTCTTGTGGTACAAATTACTTGCCACGTGGACGATTGATCCACGTGTTAATATAGCAGCCGTTGTCAGGTGTTTTTGTGGGTCCAATTGCACGTTTTTGTGGGCTCAAAAATAGAGGAAATGACGCCGGGTTGTCCTCTAACGTTGTTTGGTTTGAAGGAAAAGGTAGGGAAAGGAAGGAAAATGTATTATAACCTTATACTTCCTTTCCCTACCTTTTCCTTCGAACCAAACATAGCCTAAAAAATACGGTCTTGAATTTACACGGTAAATGGCAGAGAAGTTCTGGTTTAAAATCTCTGGTTTGTGGGCTAACTGGCTTAGAACGATTGCAGAGAGTAGTTAAGGAGACAAAGTTGAAAGAAAATCGTAAGGAAATGTCGACTTTGGTGTCTCTTCCTTCTTCGCCTCGCGAGGACGCCATCGCGCTTTACCGTGCTTTCAAGGGTAACACACTAACACCACCAACACCAGTGTTGCTTTTGAAGTCTCCATCCATCTTTCTCTTTGTTTGATCTTCTCTGAAATTCGTCTGATTCTCGACATGGGTTCATTGGGTCCTTGTTTATGTTTTTTTTTTCGATTTTTGTTAATTTTTAGTTTCTTTAGGTTCAGTTGGAGTTTCTGGTCTTATGGGTTTGCAGTCTTACACATATTCGATGAATTGTAAGAGAAGTAGTTCAGAAAAAAATTTAGAAGTGTCAAAATAGTAACGACAAATTAGAAAAGAATAAAATAACTGGAAGAATAACAACAATTTAACATGTTACTTGTAAAGCATATGACAGTCTGTGCCAGAAATTTTTTTTCCTGATATCTTCAGAGAAGAAAACGTGTTCTGTGATATTACTGTGAGTCTTAAAGGCTGCTCTTTCTGTGTTCTCTGAGAATTCAGTTATGTGTCTTTCATAAGTTTTCATTAGGCCTGCTTCATTGGCATGTTTGCCATCTGTTGAAACTGCATCCATGGTGATTTCAGGCAGCAGTTTTCATTGCTGTTTTTCTCTGTGCTTTATTTGCTAGAAAAAAAAAAGAATCTTTCATACAGCAATACCTACTTTTATGTTTCTGAAAGAAAACGTGTTCTGTGCTATTACTGGGAGCCTTTAAAGACTGCTCCTAACTGTGTTCTTTGAGAATTCAGTTATGGCCTTATGGGTCTTTCATGAATTCTCAGTAGGCCAGCTGCAGTGGCATGTTTGTCATCTGCTGAAACTGCAGCCATGGTGTTTTCAGGTATCAGTTTATGTCAACTGTTTCTCTCTGGTGCTCTGTGTGCTGGAAAGAAAAGAATCATTTATACAGTAATAGCTACTTTCTTTTCTGCAAATTCAATTATGGATCGTTCTTGAATCTTCATTAAGCCAACTTCAGTAGCACGTTTGTCATCTGTTGCAACTATAGCCACAGTGAATGAGGCATACGCGTTTCTCTGTGCTCTGTCTGCTTGAACGAACCTCTGTACATTATTGATATTTAAAGCATATGCTGTGGCTTGGATTTAAGACCTCAAAATTAAAGAGTTAACCAGTGCCCCGACCACTGATCCAAGATGACAATTATATCATTCAAATATGCCACTGTTCTTTTGCATTATCTTTCTAGAGTAGGGGAAAGAATGACTTATTTTCAAGTGAACAAGAGTTGGAAAAGAATGACACTTTTTTCCAAATGATAGAGGTGCTGAAACTTATCAGATGGATGTTCATCACATGTGGAACCCATGGACTTCTTTTTTTGGGTTGCCACCTCAGCTGTCGTGTTATGAAGCCTCTTTAGTTTAAACAGAGAAGATGGGATATTTTTGTCAATATTTTCAAGATTCTCTTATTTAGTCTCATGAGCTTTGGCCGGCGTTTTGAAATCCAGATCAGAATAGATTATTGAACTACTCGTTCAATCAACTGTCTGCCAAATGGTCTAGGTGACTGAACCTTTTCTCAGTTATTTTGTTTGGTATTGAACCTTTTCTCAGTTAAATCCCTTCTTTTCATTCTAGCACTTCTTTAATTTTATAGAGTAACATTTTGATTTCTAATGAAAATTTGTTCAAACTGAAACATTAAGCCACTGAACTATGAACTGCTATTCACACAAAGGCAGAAGTTATTTCGGTTTTGGGAACACAATTTCTGTTTTTCTTTTCCTCTTTTTTACCAATATATTTTCAGTTCTATTCACACAAAGTTGATGTTTTCCTTGAACTGTCAAAATTTAGTGGGTTTTAAGTACTTAAGTTTTTTAAATTTGAGAATAGGCTGCCATGCAATAGACTAAAGAAAATTTGCCAGAAGAAAATTCTTAGTTGAAGTTTGTTTGCTGGAGATTTCTAAAGGAGATTATTTGAAATTGCTGCAAAAAATTAGAAATGGCCCTTTTAGTAAAAGTAAAAGCTAATCCAATGCTCTTAATTGAATTACAGAGGAAAATAGGCAGTGAAAATACTCTTCTTTATGCTCTTTGTAAAGATTGGAGCACAGTACTCTGCCAAACTCAATAGAGCCTTCTTCCAACTATATGGTGATGTTTTAAAACCTGGCCTACAGAACTGTTTTCCCCTCCAAATGGACAGGTCGGTGGTTCATTGTTCAGCTCAATGGGTAAACCCATGACATCACAATAATAAAAAATTCCAAAAAAAAAAGCCAGTAACCCAGTGAACAGGTTGAATGGGTCATTGGTTCAACTGTCCAGATCAATGGGTCATTTACCAAGTCGGTGGATTTTTGTAATATGGTGGTTAGAGGTTGACCAGACCCAGAATTGTGACCAGATCACCAGTTCGACCATCCGGGGCCAATGACAGGTTGAAAACATTGCTATATGGGGCTATCTACCTACCATCTGCTCAATTCAGTTTTCTGAACATTTTAATTTGCACCTATATCTCAGATTTTTTCTTGTTGTCTTGTTCTTGAGACCAGATTGTTTGACTTCCTGTGATCTGTTGAACTGTCTATGGTATACACCAGTAATAATATAGACTCTTATTGCCTTAAGTGTAGCTTGATCTATATATAGATGTATTTTATTCCCAGGGATGTGGTGAATTCAGGTAGTCACCAATAACTATGGAAGTTTTAAATTTGAAATGCTGTGATTTTAGAAAATTCAATATTTGGACAATATGTTCTTGGGAATAGCTAAGGTTCTAGTGATCAACTTTGTCCTACTTACACATAAAATTATAAACCCTTACATACAAAGGTCATAATTTAAGTCTGGAAGATACAACTGCAACCAACACTGGTGCAGCTTTGGTATAGTTAGAAATAATTGAAACAACTTGAACAAGTTGAAATGCCTTGAAGGAGTGGCACTGGTTGTGAATTCATTGACTTTTGTCAATGCACTGAAAAAGCCTCAAATTCCTAGTGTTGCTGATTATACCTTGGTTCTTTGGTGATTAAAATCAAGCTTGTTATTATTTGAGAATTTAAACCCTTTTCTCATAGTTATTTCTGACTAACATTTATCTTCTTAAGAAATGTGGTGTAGCACCAAATTGTGACGAGGATGGGAAATTATTGTCTTATGCATTGTCCAAAATGACATGAGAAATGTATACCATATAGCATTGTTATCAAACAGTGTAAGACCTGAAACTTGTCTAAGTAGACTGATTTCAGCAGTACAAAACTATATTTAATCAAAAGAAATAAGTGAATTAAGAAGAAGAAAGCAAGAAAGAGTGAAGAGAGGAAGAGAAAGAAAGAAAAGAAAATAGATGTGAGAAGAGCAATCAGATTGTAGTGGTCATTACTCATTAGAGTCCCTACTATATTTTATACTTTAGCGTAATGAATGATAAATTTACAGTTATACCCTTAATAGGACAGCAGCAACTAAGAACTAAAATAAAAAGAACAGCGGGCCCAATAATGAACATACTAAAATCCCACTGAACAAATATAAAACAAGAACCAAAAGATAGACCTGATAAATAAGAAAAAATTTAGCTGGCCTGTAAAGAGTCTATTTACATCTATACATTGTTCTTCTATTAACAAGAAATAACTCTACTATATTGGGCTAGGGCCCATGTTCTAACATTCTATTTTTGAGAAGTGGTTGACCCTTAAGCTTGTACCGAAGAGCAATATGTTTACTTGTATACACAACATAGTTAATTATGGAATGTTTAAACAATCATGCTTGAAAACCAGCTTACAAAACTTTTGTAGTGCTAGAAGGTACATAATTGGAAGAAGAACATTGCAGAAACAGTAATCTCTGATCTGGGATAGTTATCATGACCTAGTTGAACCAACTTATCCAAGACAGGAATGATAAGTGCTTCTTGTTACAAGAAAATATCACCAACTTGAAAATATTATTCTTCTTCAGATAACTTTTCTTGTATTTTGTTAACTATATGCTAACAGACCCTTAAGCATGGCATAACTAATATTTAAATACTTCTCAAAAATATTTGAAATGAAAAAATTTGTAAATGTAATTAGAGATAAACAGAACAAATTGCTTATGGATTTTCCTTGACTTGTGTGACTGTGAACTGCATCTTCATTCCCTTGAGTCACACTTAGTGGAGGCCAAAATCTTGTCTGTTGGAGAGGTAACATATGCATTAACAATAATTCCAAGACTAAACCAATGGGAATGCTACAAAAATTATGTAGAATAGGTATTTGAGAATTAGAGTGTACTTTTTTTTTTTAATTTTTTAGTAAAAGCTTGGGTTACTGTTAACTATGATTATTGATTTTCTAAGTTTTTGCTAATGAGAAACGTCTATTCTTTTCATCCCAACATTTTTATTTTGATCATGGGTGGGATGCCAACCTCCTTAAAGTATGCCATATCCTTTTTCTTTTATCATCATCATTACCCAAGCCTTATCCCAACTATATGGGGTCGGCTAGGGGTGGCAATTTTTAACCCAACCCGTTGAACCCACCCAACTCGCCCATTTACTTGGTGGGTTGTGTGATCAACCCATCACCCAACCCACCCATTTAAATGGGTTGGGTTGTGGATAACCATTGGGTTAACCATTATAGACATAAGTGTTAATTCCTTAGCCTTTTTTTTTAATTTTCTTCATTTGAATTAAATAATTTATAATTAATGCATTAATTTTTTATTAATTATTGACTAAATTTAGTTTTGTCTTGAATCAATACACTTCACCCAACATAAATCCAAATCAATTTGACCCGAGTCCGGACCAGTTCAATGTGGTCTGACCCGATCCAACATATACTGGTCTAGGTCGACCCGGATCCGACATAGACCCCGGGCAGGATGATTTGGTGCTGCTTGCTCTGTCCGATTTGGGCTGTCCGGTCTAGCCAATATTCACACAGTCCGAGCCAACTTGGTACAAGCCGATCCGGGTCGACCTGAATCTAAAATGGTTTTAGATGGGATGGTTCGGCCTCCGCGTGCTTTGCACGATCTGGACCGTCCGTCCAACCAATATCCACACAGCTCGACCCAAATCCGGGTCGACCCGATTTACTTACGTTGACCCAGTTTGGGTCAGCAGGTCTGTTCCCAAACCCGTGCACAAACCTGATATGGTCAGGTCCAAGTCAATCCACCATTGATTGGACTAGTCCGATCGAACTGATCTAGATCTAAACGGTTCAACCACCCTTGAACCTAAGTGGTTTAAGTTGGTCTAACAGGTTTGAACCTAAGTGGTTCGGCCAAACCCGAAATCCGAACATAATCAAATGGCTTCGCCGCTTGTGTAAAAATTACATGCATGTAATATGATTTGAACCTTCACCACTTGTTTAAATAATAACTACAATTACCACCAAGCTATGACCAACTTATTTGTTAAGAGAGAGTTAATTTGTTTTTTAAGTCCATAAATATAAGATTAATGGGTTTGGGCGGGTTGGATTGGGTTAAAGCGGGTTTGGGTTGAACCCAACCCATTTAATTTTATATAATTGGGTCATTAGTGGGTTGGCGGTTTAGATGGGTTGGGTTGAAGCTCAACCCAAACCAAACCCAACCCAACCTGCCCAATTGCCACCCCTAGGGTCGGCTATGTAAGTCATGCTTTGCCATTTCGTTCTATTCAATGTTATCCATTGCAGTGTTTTAAAAGGCGTGGGAGGCGTACGCTTGGAGGTGTGCCTCCAGGTGAGACGCCCCCAAAACACACCTCCAGCTCCAGGCGAGGTCCCCCAAAATGCCCTGAGGCGTATTTCTGATCCTATCCTTTTGAGTTTTTTCACTCATCCATTTCAGCATATATATTTCTGCTACTCATTTTTTGGACATGTTGTTTCTTGATTGCCCAACAACATAGCTGGCTTTACAACTAATTTATAGAATTTTCCTTTTAATCTAAGTGATATTGGCCCATCACATAAAACTCCAGATGCACCTCTTCATTTTACCCATTTTACACTAATTCTATGGGTGACATCCAAGGTTTAAAGTATCGACACGATATGCCTTGTATTAGGCATATCATGTCATAACAGCAAGCTACCGATACTTGAAATATTAGGGGTTTTGGATTTTGGGTATTTTCAGGGGGTAGGCAGGCCTATAAGACCGACCCTCTGACCAATTTTTAAGGAAAAGAATAAAAAAAATATGATGTTTTGTAGTATTGGAACACCCGATATGCTTGTCTTTGCATATTGGTTGTATCAATACTTCAAACCTTGGTGACATCCTCCTTAAATCTCCTTTGTTATGTACTCTGATTTCCTAAGTGTACTCTGATTTCCCTCCTATTGTTATCAAGCTTACATATCATATATTCTTTTTAGTCCTACTTATTTTATAACCTCTTGTTTCAAGGCATGTCCATAAGTTCAATTTTACCCATTGAATCCTTGTTTTTATATGATCATTAAATTCTGATAAATTTGAACTATTATGCTGATAGGTGACAGAATCTGTCTATCATGTATTATTTTATGTACTTCCTAGTCCTTCCCACTTCTTAATATGAAAATTTTATTGTCTTCCATCCTTATGGTAAAGGGATTTTACAGAGTCATCATCTGCGCTATAAAAAATATTATGAGAATTTATATGTATAAAATATTATATTAAGTACAATATATAAATTTTATATGTATCATATTATTATATATTTATGTGTTATAATGTATAACATATAATTTTCATATAATGTAATATGATATTGTCCAAATAACTTCTTAATTTGGTGCTGAGTTTATTTAGAGGGGACCTCACCTATGAGAATTTAAAAGGAAATTTCAGAATTCAGAGGTTCGGATGTTTAACAGAACAATCACCTGACCCCTGGAAAGAAAAATTAATAGGGTTCAGAAATCAGTTTAATGCCACCAAACACAAATGAGATGAGCCTTCAATGTAGTAATTTTGGGATCCAAGTAATCGAATATTGTTTATTGAATATGAGATTATTTTATAGATTTCTCCAAGATTCGATGTTCCTTTCTAAAGGATCTTAATGATCTACACTTTGGTGATGTTTATTCAGGACTAGGTTGTGACACTGCAACAGTTGTCAACATCCTCGCCCATCGTGATGCTGCACAGCGTGGCCTTATACAACAAGAGTATAGATCCATGTATGCTAGTGACATTATGGATCGTCTGGCTTCAGAGCTTAGTGGCAATCTTGAGGTATCAATAGAACAATGTTCAGTCCTTGATACTCTTGTAGGAAAGGATGGTTCTCGTGTTCATCTCCCATTGATTGAAATTGAACCTTTTAATGTTTATGGCTCTTTACATATAATTTCATTAACATGAAATCTACGATTACCTTTCTTTTTCTCTTTAATTCTTTTATTGTATAAATAACTAGTTGTCAATTATTCTTTTATGGGTTTGTTTTGATCCAGTTTATCCATTTTTTGTCTCAGAGAGCAATTTTGCTTTGGATTCATGATCCAGCCTCACGTGATGCAACCATAATAAGGAAGGCACTAACTGGGGACATCATTGATTTGCATACTGCTACTGAAGTAATATGTTCTCGAACCCCATCCCAAATACAAGTATTTAAACAACTATACTATGCAAAGTTTGGCATTTACCTTGAACATGATATCGACTATCAAGCCTCTGGAGATCACAAAAAGGTCCTTGCTCTCTCTCTCTCTCATATGGATGTGTGCATGTATATTACTGAGCTAATTTTACTACTTATTGAGATAAACTTGCTGTAAGTGAATCCCAAAATCAAATTTCCTGCTTTATCGAGGAGCTTGATCCTCAATCCATCTCCTTTAGCTGATCTGAATAAATACAACCTTAGCTAGGGTCAACAGGTATTTATTGGGAGTTGATTGTTTATAACTTAATAAATTAAGTGAAAATTAATAGAAAGAGCATGTTGTTAACTATCTTTATTTTTCTTTGATGACTTGGAATTCAATAGCCATAATTTTACAATAGGGCTTTGGTGAACTAAGTGAGCCTGAGCCTGCTAACCTTAAAAACCTGAGTTTGTGCCCATGGGGTGATTTTGATCCCTATTTTATGAGGACATGAAGATTGATAAATGAAATGGATAATTTTAATATGCTGATCATCAGAACTTGGTAGAAGTTCTCTTTCCAAAATGGCTGCTTTCTTATCACTGGTTGATTGAGGGTGAATATGACAATTGTCTGGAGTGATTTATGATTGATAATGGAAAGGGTCAAGTTGCACATGGATGAACACAAGACAGGGCTGGGCTCATCATGAGCCTATTGCAACCCAAGGGTAATGGGCTCAATCACATCTGGAAAAACCATGGTTCATTAACAACCTTATTGTTTTCCATCAAGGTTCAAAGTATGGATACATATCGGCCCGTATCGGCTGATACGTATCGTGCCGATGGCTTACCGATATGCCCCTCCGGGGGTTGTACTGGGTCAGGCACTGGTTCAGAGGGTAGCCGGGCCTTAAACTGATCCCTTTGAACTGGTTTCGAAAAAAAATAAAACTTAAAAAAAAGTACAGATACAGGCCGATACTTTGAACCTTGTTTCCATAAAATTATAGAATGGGAATATTCCCGATTAGTACCCTGTACTTTGGGCCTGTGCCACTTTTGTCCCCGAACTTTAAAATGCGACAATTCGGTACCCGAACTTTCAAAACATGACAATCTAGTACCTGCTGTTAACTAGCTGTTAACCAGCCGTTAAGTAGCATTTGAAACAGACACAAATGCCCTTCGAGTGTCATTTAATTTTCTTTATCAACCATCCAAACATTGACAAAAGTTAACAGTCTCAAATCCTTGCCTCTTCTATTCAAGAAAGTTAGGGACTCCAGAATGCCCACTCAAATGTGACCCCAACTTTCTTGAATGGAAAAGGCAAAGATTTGGGACTGTTAATTTTTTGTCAACATTTAGATGGTTGATAAATAAAATTAAATAACACTTGAAGAGCATTTGTCTTTTTCAAATGCCACTTAACGGCTGGTTAACAGCTAGTTAACGGCAGGTACTGGATTGTCATGTTTTAAAAGTTTGGGTACTAAATTGTTGCATTTTAAAGTTCGGGGACCAAAGCGGCACTAGACCCAAAGTACAGGGTACTAATTGGGAATTTTCCCTTATAGAATATCTTTCAATGGTTGGTCTGTTTGACTATATATCACAAAATGGCATTTTGGAAGATTCTTTTTTAGATCAAAGCATAACTTTTCAAGAAGGCAAAAAATATAAAAACAAGAGCAAAAGAAGATGACTTCAAAAAATAAGTTTAGAACTTAAATGCAACTAATCCACCTTCATATAACAATATACAATGCAGAATGCCACTCAGAACACCAAAAGGCTTACACTTGAACAAATCAAAACACAAGGATCTATTGATCTACACAATACACCAAAACCAAACAGTAATGCCCTATAGAGATTAACAAACACAGTGCCTTCCATAGAGAGAGTAATTGGTGTTGCCAGCGAGGGAAGAATCTATCTCCATGCACAAGGCCAAGAATTGCAAAAAAACTGAAACTTCAAAATGAATTAATTGATTTACTAACTTCAAACTGAAAGAGTAGATAGCTTTTTTTAAAACAGAAAATATGCATGCTTTTTTTAATATCCTCCTGTTTTCATCTAATGATTTGGTTTTGAAACATAGAGCCTTACTGTGGGCTGTATTAATTAGTCTTAAATGGTGGGATTAGCCCCAAAAAGAATGCCTAGGGTCCCAAAAGAGATGGTAGGGCCTCCCTAGTTGAATCATTGGGATTATAGGCTTGGCCTGCATCACCAAGTTTCAGCTAGAAAAGCCCTTGTCAAGTTTCCAAACTAAGACCTTTTCTCCGGGCACTTTTTAAACACTAGAGCTTAACCTTTAGACAACTAATGTCATTGTGGGAACATTTACCTTATGGTGTGGTATGGACACTGGAGCCACATTACCTCTTCATGTGGCCAAAATGGAGTAGGTCATGTACAAAGAAGCCTAAAATATCTATTAGGAACCTGCAATAAGGTCAAATTCGTCAGTTTTGTCATTTTCCTTTCTGGCATTAAACTATCTTATGATAAGTAGTGAAAAGAATCAGTGTTTGAGAGTTACAGTGTAAAATGCACATGCTATTTTCTCAGAAATTTAAACAAAGATGTACTTAATGTTTTATGCAGTTGCTGCTTGCATATTTAAGTAAACCACGTTATGAAGGACCTGAGGTTGATCGAGCGATGGTAGAGAAAGATGCTAAAGCTCTTTATAAAGCTGGGGAGAAGAAATTGGGCACTGATGAAAAAACTTTTATCCAAATTTTCAGTGAAAGAAGCTGTGCACATTTGGCTGCTGTTAGTTCTGTTTATAAAGATCATTATGGAAACTCACTGAAGAAGGTAAATATCCTGAATGAATCTCCATTCGGCATAATACTAATATACTGGTAATTATTAAACATCTTTAATCCATTTCAGGCAATTAAGAGTGAAACATCTGGAGATTTCGAGTTCGGTCTTTTGACAATCCTAAAATGTGCAGAGAATCCTGCGAAGTTTTTTGCAAAGGTATCTTCTACAATTTCAATCATTCCATCTTTTTTTTTTCAGGATGGTTTTGTTTGTTAGTGGTGGTACAAGCTTCACCAAAGAAAATATGCTTTTCTTATTTTATGAAGCAATATAGTAGTGTTTTAATTCAGTTAAAATTTTACAGGAGTTACACAAGGCTATGAAAGGCTTGGGAACTGATGACAAGACACTTGTTAGAATTGTTGTTACAAGGACTGAGATGGATATGCAGTACATAAAGGCTGAGTACCAGAAGAAACACAAAAAATCCTTGGCTGATGCAATTCACTCGGAGACATCAGGCCATTATAGAACCTTCCTTCTTACGCTTCTGGGTCAACACTAGCCAGGCAAAGATGGGTTTTCATGTAAAAATCTCATGTCATGGTTTTAGAAGTTTCTTTCAGGTTTTAGTCATTGTCTGTTAAAAATGTGAAATAAATTCACCATACTGGTGTAAAACTCTGCATAAGTTTATGGTTAATGTTTGTTCAATTCCTTGGTGTATTATTTCTCTAATAAGCTTGCTATAAAGTTTTGATTAATGCCTTCAGAGGCTTAGAAAGTGCCCTGAATGCTCATCTCAGAACAGCATTGCAATCTGCAAAATTGAAATTGTGAAGGGTATTGTAGCTGTAGAGGTTTTTATTTATAACAGGATCAGCTAGTCCTTAACTTAAAACATAATCACCTTAATCTTGATAGTCAATACTGCCATATGCTATTATATCTTGCTGCAGGAAATGGAACTTGTTACAGCCTTACAGGAAACATCCCAACTCCCAGGTGAGTCAAACACCAATAAACACTGTACAAGCCTACCAATTAAGAACTGAACTTGTTTTCTTTCTCTCTTCTAGTGGGTGTGGATGGGTTGCCATATTGGGCACTCACTTGGGTAGCCAGACTAGCCAGTTAGCCATGTTATTGTTGACAGGGCAAGGTACCCTTAACATTTATTGCCTTGGCTGCACCTGGGTAATGGATAACTGGCTTATGGCTTGTATATTGGCTTGTGAATCACATCTCCCTGGATTAGATTCAACATCTATTCATGTCAGTAGGAAGCAGGAACATCCATTTTCCAAGTATTGGGGGCCAACTTCATCACAAATCTGTCCATTGATCCATCACTATGCATATAAATCAAAACATGCCAAGCAGTCGTACTTGGCTGGTAGTTATGTCGAATTTGGAAACTCTTGGTATCATCAAATGCATAGCTCATCCTGGAAAGTCCAGACCCAGCAAAACAAGAGCCATCCTTAGGCTTGCAGGCTCTATTAACGTTTTGGCCTCTTTCTTTTTCTTTGGAGAGAGGGGGGTAAAAGATAGGGCACAGTTACTAAGTACAATAGTACACATGATGGAGCACACTCAATGTAGTGTTTGGTACTAATGTCATAAATGGGGTACCATGGAATGGAGCAAGACCCTACCTCTGGTACTAATGGCCATAATTTTTTATGGTACCATCATAGTGTAATCCGTGATCCTTTCAAGTTTCAGCTGGTAAGAGTGAATGAGAGGTGAATGCATGGGGGCCTCTCACTGGTCTCCCTGTCAACCATGGGATCAGAATCAGGGGGTGGAGGTGCATGATAATACAGGGTTGTCATGTTCTCTTCATCATTTACATGGGTAATATGGTTTCATGTGATGGACCAGGATTCTGGTTGATTCTCACTGCAGGGTGGTCCAATATGTTACTTCCTCCAGCGTGCAGGAAACAAACAGTTTCTTGATATATCTCTGGCCTTGCAGCCGGACCATTGAATATGATAACAGGCAAATTGATGGGTGATTTGCTGGTACCAAGTTGAGAAGATGGTGTCTGAACTCTGGGATTTATCATTTATCAACGTCACGCTTCTTTGGCTTTTGGGTGTTCACCGTGATTCTTTGTTTCATGAACCAAAGAAGATCAACTGTCGTGTCGGTCAAGAGACTGCCCGATGTAATGGCCGATGCTGATGCATATTTAGTTTTAGACGAACAGAACCAAGCCATGAAGCCACCAACCATGGAAATGCGATCTTTCTTAAGAGTGCGTCCAAAAGCAGTTCTATGAAATGACTTCACCATTTGATTAATGAATTGGTTTTTTGGCCTCTTTGATATGAACAGTTGCTGCTGGCCTACTGCCATGGTTCATGGCCACCCTGAGGAGTCTAATCTCATGGGCTTATATCACAAAATGATAAGACTGAACATGCCATAACCATGATGTGTTATCACTTATCACATGAACAACTATGTTTACACCAGGATTTAGGCTGTCAATTATCTGGTTCACATTCAGTTTCTGATTTTTTGAAAAAAAAAGATCTTATTTGAGAAGAGTAGATCTTGTTTGATCCATCCATGCATTTTGGCTTTTATTTAGGCATCAATATTCAAGCAGTTGGCTTTTTATTTATTTATTTTTTGTTGTTATGACCAAGGATGCAGGCTTCTTTGGATCCGGTGTAAAACGTCATCACTGATGATGTTTTACACTGAACCGTATATATAAGTGACCATTATATTTTGAAAACCATGATAAAAAAGTGCAAAGTTTTACATCGATAAAATCGATATAGTTTTTTCATCGATTATCGTTGTAAAACCTTATACTTGATGATGTTTTATATCGATTCACAATGTAAAACTCCATCCAAACGCCAACAAATCTAAACTGGAGTGAAGTTTTACGTCGATCATAATTACACGCTCCTCCCAAATGTCTATAAAACTGAACCGGTGTAAATTTTGCATTGGTTCTTGATTTACATTACTTCCAAATGCAGCTTCAGTGTCAATTTTGAACAAGAAAGAATGAAAAAGCTACTTGGGGAGGTGGTCTTCTTTAATAGGTTTTTCCAAACACTGTGTTTGGATCTTATAAATAATTAAAATAAAAATCAGAACTGAAGGAAAAGAGAGAGAGAGAGAAGGAATAAACACACTAATTGAAGAAAAGGGATTCTTGAAAGCATTATTTATGCTCAAATAGCTTGACCAAAAAGCTTGCAAGCACTTGAATTTCACCATGCACTCAGATCTAACCTAAATAAAAAGTGGAAAACCAATAAGCTGAGTGATGTCGTTGTAGATGTCTAGCTATGAGTTTGTAGTATGATTATTTGTTTATAGATTTCAAAGAATACTTTAGACTAAGAACCATTTGAATAGTTTGGATTTCTTCCCAGGTTTATCTCTTATCTTCTTGTATACTTTTTTTTCTTACTTGTATTTTATAAGGCTGTGTATCGTATGGGTTTCCCTACCTTTCCCTATCTTTTCCTTGAAACCAAATATAACCTATGGCAAAGAAATACAATTTGTTCAAAAAATAAATGCAACTAAAATTTTGTATACTTGAATGGATGAATGAAAAAACTAGAAATGACAAGGTCATAATAATGAAGTTATTTGAAGAAACTTAGAAATAGTTCTAATAGATGATAAAATGAGAGGAAATCGACTAAATGGTTTTAATATATGCATAAAAGGCCACCGACAATACCCATAAGAAGAAGCGATCTGTCGCAAATTAAAGGGACTAGAGGGACTAGGGGTAGATCAAAAAGGACATGGATCTAAATAGTAATAAATGATTTCAGTGATCAAAATTTAAGAAAGCATATGGCATTAATCAGAAAGGAATGGCAAAACAGGGTTCATGTAGCTGACCCCATATGGTTGGGCAAGGCTTGGATGATGACAAAGGAAATAAATATTTTTTCTCTTGTTTCCAACATCTTTCTTTCATGTCTATCAAGAAAGAAAAATTATTTATTATATTGAGAAAATTTTCTATTATTTTCTTTCTTTGACCCAAAGGCAATTTCCATTCAACTAATTAAATGGTTAAGTTACATCGTTGTTCATGGTAGAAATAAAGAAATCTAGAATAATTGATCATGTCCAAGTGGAAGAAGAAGATAAAGCAAAACAAGAAAATTTATGAGTAGCCTTGTTCCCTGTCCTCGGGGTAGAAGTAATTGAGACATCCGGAAATGCTCTTGCAGCTGGTCATACTTAGGCAACACACATGGTGCTTATTTATTAGGGTAAATTGCTGAAACCTTCCCTGATGTTTTAGGTTATTGTTAAAACCTCCCCTGAAGTTTAGTATTTGTAATTATCTCTTAATTTTTTAACAAAATTGCAAGTAGACCCTTTTTGCTAGAATCCTCTAAAAATAAGCATGGAAATGTTCAAAATACCCATAGAGATATTTTGACCAAAATGTTTATTTTTTAAGTTTTCTCTATATAGGAACAGCTACTACAAATCCTTTCAATCTCTTTTCTGAAATTGATTTATTTTTATAAATTTGTCCTTTATACCAATCACTCAAAGGTAAAGCTGTAACTGTAAATTCTTTTTTTTGTTTTAATAAAGTTTGTATTTTTTTGTGCAAATTTCTTAAACTACCCTTACTATTTAGCTAATTGACTAACTTTATATCTTTATTATTTAACTATTGTCTTAAATAGTAATGGAAGTGATAAAATGTCCCTTTTGCCCTTAAATTAAGAGAAAAGCTGCGAGAGAGACAAACTTTGGAAAGAGTGTCTAGGCTTGGTTTCTTCGCTGCTATAGACGAACTCTGGTAGTCCCTCCTCTCCCATTCTTTCTCATTCTCTCACTCTATTTATCTCTTTATCATCCTCTCAGCCACTCATTTCTTTCTCCATCCCCTGTTATCGCCACTACAACTTTCAGCAAAGGTGGTTTTCCAACTTTTGCCTCTACTTTCTACTGTTGTGCTGCCATTGCTGTTAGTGTTGATGGTATTGCTGCTGATTATGATTCTCATTTCCTTGCCGATTTGGAAGCGTCTTGACTCAAGTTTGATGATCCTCCAAATCAGGTTGCCGAGAAGCGACCACAAGCTCTGGTGTTATGTGATGATGATGAATAGTTCTTGGATGGTTGAGAGGAGATGGTTGCATAGGTGAATCAACTAGTCCTTATGGCCCCACTAGGGATGCCAATGAGTCAGGTTTGGCATGGATTTTCCTCATCCCTAACCAACCATACAATGCCTCAACCCGAACCCGACATGACCCACCCGCCTTAAGCATATATAATTTCACCTGACCCAACCCTATAGGGTCTAACTCAATACCAACCCGACCTAACCCGTAGTATTTCAATTGTATTTTTTTAACATGTTTTAAAGACCTAAATCTATTAATTTAAATTAGGAAATCGTTTTATAGAATTTAAGATGTTACTTTTCCCATTAAAAAAAGAAAAAAAATCAAAACCAATATATAAATAAATATTAAACTTTAAAACTATAGAATTAGAAATCAAAAAATTACAAGAATACTTTACATATATACATGTTATTATGACCCGGCAGGGTAGGTCAGCCAAAACCCAAACCTAACTTGGATTGAATAATCACCACCCTAACCCGACCCTAAAACCAAATATATTGATCATAACCCGATCCTAGGTCGGATTGAGCCAAATTTACCATTTAGCCCAATTCATTGACATCACTAGCCCCAACAACTTTTGTTGTCAGTGATTCCCGCCAAAAGGTTTAAATGGTAGATCCGGCCGACATCTATGACAACATGAAAATCCAACGGTTTATATTCAGTCAACAAAGCCTATCATGATCCGTCTCTTTGACTACACTCAAAAACTTTGTGTTTTTCAACTTTGACCAAAGTGTCACATCCGTTGAGGCACAATACCCTCAAATTTCAATAAATTTACTAAAAAAAGGCACTGTCTCTCGCCCTAATTGTGTCTATCAATCCACCGTCTTGTGCGCCAGCAATTCCTCCAATTTCATTTCTTCCTCTCCAGACCCCTTTTTTTAATTATATGTTTAGCATGAGAAAAAGGTGATGTTGGGTTGGAAGTACCGTTTTTTAAGAGAATGGTGTTTCTTTTTTGTTTGAAAACGTTGTTATTAGATGGAATATTTTCAGGAGCAACAACAACATTTTCTGTTTAGCACCAGTGCTCCGTATTTATTTTTAGCATTTGTATTCATTATAGAAAGTCCACATCACTGTCATATAATGTCCTTGTTGGCAGCAACAAGTTGCATTATGAGAAAATGTCAAATTCGGCGTTACTCAAAACCATTCGGCATTATTCAAAACCATGCTTTTTTGATTTCCGAGACATGGCTTGGAGCATCATTTTTTATGGAAAAACGGTTCCAAACATATTGGCATTTCCTAAAGCACCGTTTTTTTCTGACATGGCGCTGATGTGTCACCATTTTCTGGAGCAATGACATCGATTTCAAACAGATGCTATCACGCTAATTCTCTCTCTTCATCTACGTTACCCCCAATTGCCCATCCAAATACCATTTATGCCGCTGCAACTCGTAAGGGTAGAGTTAGTCAATTAGCTAAATAGTAAGGGTAGTTTAAGAAATTTGTCTTTTTTTTATTTAACCAGCCTCAGTAGTAATTGTATGGGTACTTAAGACATTTTCATCCTTCTTTTTAGAAGATTCTAGTAGAAAGGGTTTACTTATAATTCTGTCAGAAAGTTCAGGGAGAGATGATTGCAATTACCAAACTTTAGGAGAGGTTTTAGCAACTTTCCAGAACTCCAGGGGAGGTTTCAGCAATTTACCTATTTATTATATTTTGGCTATGCAATATTGGTGTATATGATATCTATTTATAATTGGGCCAATTATTCCAATTTAATCTGATTAGAATCTGATCGGCCTAGTTATATTACCATTTATAAATATTAATATAAACATATTCCATTAATTAATATGAATTTATAAATTATAAATTGGTTTTTCAATTACGTTTTCATTAAAAGATTGCTCAAGTCTTATTTTTTAGTTCAAATTCATGGATTTCCTTTTCTGAAGTTATGTCAGCTTCACAACATGGCCCTAGCATTTGTTGGTAAATTGGGCAACAAGTCACCATGGCCCCTGGCTCCCAGCAATGGTTCTATTCTCTAAATTAATGTATATTGTAAGTTGCAGTTGGTAACATTCTTTTAAGCAGGTTTTTCCTGAGTTAATTTTCATCCATGGTGGGAGGTTGGGAGCTGTTCAGTGATGGCTTCCAAACATGGCTGGTTTCAAACAACTGATTGTTTTGTGGATCCTCTGGCTCAGAACCCATGATTCTTTTTTCGTTGAGAGATAATATGTATGTGTATGTTTAGGCTCAGTTTGGAAAGAGTATAAATGCAAATATGTACAGTATAAATACATACAAAATAAAAGGCTTTGCACTATACATATTTGCATTTGTACTCCTTCCAAACTGAGCAATGATAGAGACAAGCAAGCACGGGCTGTAGCCATGGCTGTAGGCCACTGAAAACGTGAAAACAAAGAAATTGAAGCTTAATATGGACTGTGAAGCACACCACATGGGCTATATCAGTGGCTGCCAGAATCCTGTTAAGCACAAAAGAACAGGATTAAAGAAGAGGGTTTAAGCTAATATATGGAGTTAGGGGAGTTATGGAACTGTTTGGGTTTTGTTACTTTTGGCAATTTTGTGCTTAACAGGGTCATCACAGCCATGGCAGGTGGTGCTACCATCCTCTACCTGAAAACCATGTTGGATTATTGTTTGAGACCACTAGTTACATGTTGAGACAGCATAAACGACAGATTACCCACAGACACACAGTCACCCAGAAATTTTATTTGATAGAGGAATTGATGTTTTCGATATAGGGACAGAGACATGCACATACACAGACAACACTTTGGAACAATGTTGTCAGGCTTGGACTGGACCAGATGGATGAACCAGTGAACCAGTGACCTAGTGAGCTTTCTGGGTCCTAGTCATTTGATGGTTCCTATGGGCTCAATGATCTTACAGGCATGGTTAAACCAGTTAAACAGTGGTGCAGTGAAATCTAGGGAAGTAGGGATAGAGCTCCACCTCCACTGATCAGTTCAAATTTTACTGAGAATTCATATATTGTCCTAAACAATTCTTATCCTTTGCCAAAAAGAAAAGCTATTCTTATTCTTATCTTTATCCTTTACTTAATTGTACCTTTAGCTACTGGCCTTTTTAAAAACCTTGTTTCAAAAAAAAAAAAGGTATTTTCCCTCAAACTATATACATAATACCAGCTATATATCAGGTGCCCATAAGTTAGGGACATACGATAGATCAAACTCACCCAGAAACTTCGATTGCAGAGAGAAATTGACATGTTTTGATAAGTTAGAGAAGCACAGCACATTCTCCAAGTGCAGTACTCATTATATTCCCTGGGAAACCCATTTTCTAGTAGAATTTTGTTTCCAATAAAAATGCTTTTTTTTTCTCTCAAAACGATGCATTTTCTGTAAATTAGGGAATCCACAAGGAAAATTCCTCAGAAGCAATATAAGTCATCAAGGAAATACAGACATCAAAGTGAAACGTTTCAGAAAGATAAGGAAATATGTTAATTCCTCAGTGGAATCATCATTTCTCTACATTGGTTCCAACTCAATCCCCACACTTTATCTTTTGGCAATTGGCATCTCTTATGAGTTTGTTCCCTTCACTTAAGTCGTTTCTGATTTCTTTTTCTCTTGTCGTTTTCTGCTCCTTCCTGGTTCCTTCCCAGGAGACTACGCTTCTCTCTCTCTCTCTCTCTCTCTCTCGCACACACACACACACAGGAATTCCTTCACCGAATGAATCAGAGCAGAAGAAATCAAGAGAATAGAAAGCTTACCCAGATTACAAAACAAAGTTAGAATGCAAGGTTCGATGATTCAACATAGTCAAATCATCCATCTTTACATTATCATATACGATCAAGTTAAGTGCACTCACCGCAGTCGGTACAGTAGTACCAGTGCCATCACTTGGTAGATATACCAACGTTAGCCTATTTCTAAAAGGAAGGAGGTTGTGTTACAGTTGTTGGCTGAGGAGCACTATCAGAACCAGAAGAAGCAGTAGCAGACATGATCCTCTTGAGAAGTTGCAGGATGGAACGTGCGATTTGAATGGCTGGGTCTGCATTGGCTGTCTCTCTGAACATGGTATGGACCCTCAGAGCAACCTCCACGCCCACGCCTAGCCTTGCTTGCTCATCTTTGATGGCTTCCTCGCAGAGGCCGCACACCCATATCCCACCAAACCGCTCCTTCACCCACCTGATGTAGCCCACCGTGCACTCCTCCGACATCCCGCAGCACCCACACTGTTCCTTCTTCACCACTTCAGTGCTAGTCGTTTCTTCTTCGATCTTCATTACTTCCTCAATTTCTGTACTAGTATTCTTGCTGGAGGAGAAGAAGAGGCTCTCTGTTTGAGGACTTCGGGCTCAGACTAGACCTTTAATGCAAAGTCCATCCCCTTTGTAACAAGAAAAAGTGAAGCAGCTGCAGCATTTGCTTTGAGAGAGAGAGAGAGAGAGAGAAGGGGGAGAGGGGTGTGTGAGGGAGATCTTTGTGGGTCTCTTTATATTTGTTGCTTATGTAATACATTATAGATTTGTTTTGGTTGTTGTGTAAAGGGAGGTTAGAGAGCTCCAAAATATTTTTGGCAATTTGGCAGTCACTCATTTGGAAATTTGACCCTTAAATTAACAAATAAATTAGTTGATCATAATTTGTCTTGATTAGTTAATAATTGCATTTAGAAATGGAATTTTAGCACCTTAATCACAGTGTGGTAAGGGCACTTTTGTCATTTAGAGTAATGCTCCACATAGAGAGAGAGAGAGAGAGAGATTATACTTTTGGTTGGAATATAGTTCCTTTAATCAGAATCTAGTCCCCATCCCTTTGGTCCTCCAATGGCATGGTCGACCAACTTTGATCTCTGGGTAATGACCCCGTAAACTTAGCCAAGTGTCCTGAAATTGTGCTCTTAGGTTCTGATCAATCAATGACTTGGTAAACGGTGTAAGGTGTGAAGCTTATGAAGCATCATACTAAATTCTCAATTGGAGCACAAAAAAAAAAAAAGAAAGAAAAACCCTCAGAACTTTATATGTCCAAACTGAAGAATGATTGGTGGTTTTTCTTACATGGCATGAAGCAATGGCTTAGTGGAAGAAACCAATGTGCGATGGATATTGAGGGATAAACATGCATTGGTGTCTGTGAGGCTGTAGTGGGTGTGAAGTTATTGTCTTTGTCTTCTTTTAGTTCCTTTTTATTATTAGTAGTATTAAAATATAGAGGAAAGAGACTTAAAAGTTGTGCCCATTCAGTGCACAGAGAATAGGAGAAGCAGTTGATGGCAGTTATAAACATTGGTCCATCTTAGAGTAGGGTCTTAGGAAGCCTAGTGACTTGACCTGTTTGGATCAACAGACAATGGATTAATTGATGAATGAGAGGTTACACTTTGTATTGTCGTCAGATTAGAATATTCTTGATAAAAACACCTCCATCTTCTATTGATAATAGTAGTCCCCATTTGATATCAGCCCAATGTTTTAAGGCGCTTCATCTTCTGTGGGGTCCTTTGGTGAATTGCTTGGCATCCATCTTTTCCTTCTTTCACATCTGTACCTGATGTTGTAAACAAAAGGGCCCATGTTTTACAATTCACTTCCTCTTCACCTGACAACTTTCTCCTCCTAGGGGTTCTGCCACATGGGCTGTTGTTTGAGGGAGAGAGAGATCTTAATGTTCAACTGGTTAGGCATGTACCCACAAAATTAGCAGCCACTGGTTCAGTCTAATCAATTCCTATATGGTCTACTAAGGGAAATTTAATTATTTTTTATTGATTTATCTGATCAATTTTTATTCTTCAATCATTCATGGAAGATTCCAAAAGTGTGATGGAGACCTTATTACTATTCTCCTGTAAATTCAATTTTACTCCAACAAGATGAAAGCTGAATATCCATATTCAAGTCTACTGATATTTGGTGGTCATCAAACTACCTCACCATATCAATCAGAATCCTCTCTCTCCTCTCTCTTCCTCTCTCATTAATCTCTCTCTTTCTCCCCACAAATATTTTTTAAACTCCAGCCCCAACAAGCTAGTATCCAGGGATCTACCAACAAAAAATAAATAAGTAAAAATAATTTAAAGAAAAGAAAAACAAGTATCTAGGGAAGGTTGTTGAAATGGACTAATTATATATAAACACTTAAATTTATTTGTATATCAAATACCTCCTAAATCATGTGGAAAGTGCATAAGACTAGATATTTACTATTTGTTCTAAGAATCAAAAGCCAACAGAGATACGAGACAGGGCTCAACTTAATTATTTTATCAAGTCTAATAAATTGGGTTGACTGATATGGCACTCAGAATATCTATTAGTTTATAGGAAATGGGAAGAACAATTTGGATATCAACTGTTAGAAATCTTCTAAAGACTAGTTTCCTTCTACAAAACACTTCAGAGCTTTGGCTCATTCTAGATACAAGAAAACTCCAACAGAAATAGATAGGAACTTTCCTACGTCCATGAAAGAAAAAAGACAAAAAGAAAAGTTAGAGAGGGAGATTTGAATGAAGAAAGTCAAAAAGATGAAGGGGGGAGAGAGATACGGAGGCATGTGAGAGGAGGGTGGATTCACATGGTCTGAAGCAAACAAAGAGAAAGAAGAGTAGAATGACTACTAGGGATGATGGGTTGGGTGAGAGGGAGGGGGGCTCGAGACCATTTTCTTCATATATTCTTTCACGAGGGGAGATTGGCCAGCATCTTTGTCAAGTGGCCTTAGTAGAGAGGGAAGGAGGAATAGGATGTGCTGTGCCTTCCCTTTTCATGGCTTTTGTCTTTCTTAGAATAATAAGACCCCACGTGAATGTCTCCCCACCTTCCAACAAATTAAAATTCATGGCTTCTTTTTTGCACTCAAGCCAAAGGTAGAGCCAAGCATCCTCAATGAGGCAATCTGCAATAGGGAAAAGACCTTGTGCTAAGTTCATCTCTGGTTATTCTACATAAATGGAACTGATGAGAGCCCATCACTTGACCCTCTTCTCTACATAAATGCACACATAGATGTGTGTGTGTATGTGAGAGAGAGAGATATGATGAATAGTTCAGTCAATTATTAATATATATATATATATATATATATAAACTTGCAAATGGAAATGGCTTTCTATTAGGCAATGCTTGATTTAAAGGAAAAAGTAGGGAAAGGAAGGAAAAGATAGGAAAACTTATATAAGATTTGTAAAGGTTTCCTCACCTTTCCCTCTCTTTCCCTATTTTTTCCTTCAAACCAAATACAGTGTAATTAAGGTTAAATAAAGACTAAGGCTGCATTTGGCATTTATTATTTCAAGAACTTATGTCCTTTCTATTAATAGAAAATTTTTAACAGATAAAAGGAGATGAGCCCTTAAAATAAGGAAAGCCAAATGCAGCCTAAGAGGGGAGTAGAGAAAAGATTTTCTCCGACCATGGTTTAATGCGAGGCTAATGAAATGTGAACATGCTAGTATTTTAAATCAAGCAACATCAGTTGATGTAATGTTTTGTTTTTTCTTTACCACCGTAGTAGCAGGAAGCATGATTCCATGGTTGTCAATGTATTTGATTTAATTTTTTTAAATAAAAGCAAAACCATATATATTGACAAACACCCTGATAATGCTATACATAGAAAAATGCTTGTTGTTTAGCCAAGTGTCCCTAACAATTCAGGAATCTTTGGCATGGCAAGTCAATTTAATCCAAAAATGAGAGAAAACATTACCTACGACCCTGGTCGCAGAACAACCCAACGACCCCCCAGTGAAATGTGAAGACACATATTTGAAATAAGAAATCAACTGACGTGATGTGCTGAATTTATTATAAACAACAGACGTGTTGGCATCTCACTTGAGGTCACTGAAGTGTTCTGCAGCAATGGTCACAGGTAATGCGATCACAAAATTGAGACATGCAACTCAATTTATTCTCCCCACCCTTCACTGACAGTAACAAATTTTGGCCTAAAATGAGTCATTGCCACTTATTCAAATTAGTGTTGTCAGATTCATATCAGATTGAATGGTCGGACCGTCGGAACCGGGAATCGGCAGCCAAGACAGATTTTTGGCTGTCGGGTTAGAATAAATTTGGTCAACCTACCTCAAGTACACATTCAATACCTATTTAAACGTATAGAGTTTCTTGTTTGAACTTTAAAGTTTATTTTGATATAAAATTTGAAAAGATAATCTGGAATTATTTGCCTTTTAAATTTTTCTTTCTTTTTTCATTTTTAGTTTTAGGCTTTGAGCAAAGCGATAGTTGGACCGGATACTCTACCATTCATGGTTTTCAAAACCGGACCAGACCAGACGGTCGGATCAAAAAAATTAGGGAACCGGTCAGGTGACCAGTTCTATTTCCCCCCAAAACCGTTAATTTTGGTCAGTGAACCGTTGAACCGGGTGGTTAACCGTTTGAACCATTCGGACGGTTTTGACCATTTTTATTTTTCTCTTAAATTTTTTTTTATTTTTTGTCAGAATGGGCTGAGCTTTGGGCCAAACGGTCGGACTGTTCGACCCGGTAACCGGACCCCTGACCGGTTTGGTTTTAAAAACCATGCTACCATTCAACCCATGACCAGTAACCCCAACGTGACAACATTGATTAAAATAAGTGTTTTTTATCTCAATAATTTTTACACTAATGGGGTATTCTTTTTCTGGATTTTGAGAGGGGGAAGTTGGTCGATGAGCTTTTGATTCCTATTGACTAAAAAACCCATGTTCTTTTTTTAAATTTATGTGGGGACCAGGGAAAGTTTATTTTCCTAAGTATCATTTACTCCTAAGTGGGTAAATAACTTTTCCACTTGGGGGAAGGTTGTCAACACTTGAATGGGATAAAAATGCCCCCTTTAATATTCGATTTTTATGGCTAAAATGGCCATTTCTGTATTTACATGGGAAATAAAAAAGAACATGGGTAAATGCACTTACCTGGGTAACTTACCGAAAAGCAAAGGAGCCTAAGGGGGTGTCCTTTTTTGGATTTTGAGAGTAGAGAAAGATGGACGATGGGATTTTGGATTCTCTTTGACCAAGAAACACATGTATCAGATTTATGTAGACTAAGGAAAGTTTAGGGTCCGTTTGGTTCGTAGTCGGAATCGGAACCAAAATGGTCCATTCCCATAATCTGTTTGATTCAGACAAGAATGGGAATGAAATTCTGATTTCGCCCCCATTTCGATTCTGATTCCAGACCCCTATTCCCATGAATCAAACGGGCCTTATTTTCTCGAGTACTCCTAGGTGGCCAAATGATTTTCCCACCTGGAT